TTTCTTTTTTTTTTTACTGTTTGTTTATTTTTTTGAGAGAGGGAGAGAGCGTAAGCAGGGAAGAGGAAAAGAGAGAGGGAGACACAGAATCTGAGGCAGGCTCCAGGCTCTGAGCTGTCAGCACAGAGCCCAATGCGAGGCTCGAACCCACAAACTGTGAGATCATGACCTGAGCCAAAGTTGGCCGCTTAACCAACTGAGCCACCCAGGTGCCCCATGATTATCCATGAATTACATTTGTTACTATACATAGAGAAAGAAAAACACATCTGATTATCTGAGAATTGGTTTAATGAATAATGAAGATATTTGGACCTCAGTGGGCAATGATGAGCTACAAAAGTAATGTGTGAATCTTTCTGAAACTTATAAGGTCACTTACCAGAAATTGCATTTAAAGTTCATATATTTATTTGGGGGCGGGGGCACAGACAAGTGAGCAAGTTGGGGGTGGGGCAGCGGGAGAGAGAAAATCCCAAGCAGGCTCTGCATTGTCAGCACAGAGCCTGATGTGGAGATAGATCATGACCTGAGCCAAAGTCGGACACTCAACCCACTGACCCCTAGAAATTGTAAAATTCAAATAAGCACTTGAAAACTAAAAACTTTAAAGAGATTTAGTTGTAATAAATGATACTCTAACACTCTAACAGATGTCAACATTGTATAAGAAAAAAATGATTTGTTAAAGCTGACAGATTGGGGTGCCTGGCTGTCTCAGTCGGTAGAGCATGTGACTCTTGATCTCAGTTGGGAGTTCAAGTCCCATATTGGACATAGAGATTTTTTTTTTAATTAAAAATTAAGGGTGATTGTGTGGATCAGTCAGTTAAGCATCTGACTTTAGCTCAATTCATGATGTTGCCGGTTTGTGGGTTTGAGCCCCACGACAGGCTCTGTGCTGACAGCATGGAGCCTGGAGCCTGCTTCGGATTCTGTCTCCCTCTCTCTCTGCCCGCCTACCTCTCTCTCTCTCTCTCTCTCCTCTCAAAAATAAACATTAAGAATTTATTAAGTTTAGTTATTTATTGAGAGAGAGAACAAGCAGAGGAGGGGCGGGGGGGGGGGGAGACAAAGGATCCGAAGCAGGGTCTATGCTAATAGCACAGAGCCCAATGTGGAACTCGAACCCGTAGCCATGAGATCATGGTCCAATGCTCAACCGGCTGAGCCACCCAAGTACCCCTAAAAAAATTTTTTTTAATGTTTATGTATTTTTGAGAAAGAGACAGAATGCAAATGGGGGAAGAGCAGAGAGAGGGAGACACAGAATCCGAAGCAGGCTCCAGGCTCTGAGCTGTCAGCACAGAAGATGATGCGGGCCTTGAACTCACGAATGGCAAATCATGACCTAAGCAGAAGTCAGACATTTAACCAACTGAGTCACTTGGGTGCCTCCCCCCCAATTTTTTTTTCATTAAAAATTTTTTTAAAACTGACAGATAAAGAGAAAAAATTTGGGGGGGGAGCACCCGAGTGACTCAGTTGGTTAAGTGTCTGACTTCTGCTTAGGTCATGAATACAAATGGGGAAGAGCAGAGAAAGGGAGACACAGAATCCAAAGCAGAGAGATCAATGTGGGGCTAGAACTCACAAACTGTGAGATCATGACCTGAGCCGAAGTCACGAGTCAGACCCTTAACGGACTGAGCCGCCCAGGCGCCCGCACATTCTGTCTTTGAAGCCTGTACTCCTACATATCTGAAATGTTCCTCTGCCAGCCACTAAATTTGCTCTATGTCCAGATTCCAACTTAAAGTTGGATTTCTCAGCCAAAACCTTTTTTCCCACGTCAAAATGGCTTTCTGATAAATAGTAATAGTAATGATGTAACTCCCTCCACCCAGATAGAAAATGAGTAAGAGAATGGGCTTTAGCTAAGTATTTAGTAGAGACCTTACAAAGCAAAGCTTAAATATGGCCTTTAGGTAACTAAGGTAATAAATAGCCATTCAATAAGGGGTCTTGTTATTCTCAGCCCACCTGTTGCTCTCTGCTAGTAAGGGGCTGACTGCATTGTAAGCCAACTGGAAAACATTTCTTTAGTAGGGATTTATGGCAGTGTTTATCCAACTTGAATAATGTACCATCTCCTTTAAAAGAAAAACAAAAACAAAAAGCAAAACAATGAAAAAAACAAATAAATAAAAACAATTATCCTGGGACTCTACTGTTGACCTAGGTTACTTTTGTTATACTGCTAAGTATGTAAAGCAAGGCATAAACTCTAACTATAGGGGAGGCCTTTATCGTTGTTTTTGAAATTCAATCCATTTATTTATTGGTTTTTGTTTTTTGAGAGAGAGAGAGAAAACATGTACACTAGCCGGTGGGGAAGGGGACGGGGGTGAGGGGGGGCTCTGACAGCAGAGAGTTCCATGTGGGGCTTGAACTCATGAACTTTGAGATCATAACCTGAGCTGAAGTTGGAGGCTTAAGTGAGTGAGCCACCCAAGCACCCCATTTATTTATTTTTAAGTACATGTCAAGCCCCAGCAGGGAGCCCAGCATAGGGCTTGAACTCAATACCCTGAAATCAAAATCAAGACCTGAGCTGAGGGGTGTCTGGATGGCTCAGTTGGTTGAGCATCTGACTTCGGCTCAGGTCATGATCTCATGGTTCCTGTGTTCAAGCACCACATCAGGCTCACTGCTATCAGCACAGATCCTGTTCCCCTCTCTCTCTGCCCCTATCCCACTCACACTCTCTCAAAAATAAATTTAAAAAACATTAAAAAAAAACCACCCTGAGCTGAGATCAAGAGTCAGGAGCCCAACCACCTGAGCCACCTGGGCACCCCTCAATCCACTTATTTAAATATATATTGTACATAACTTACAAATCCTCACTTCTGGCACTCTACCAGAGGTTTTCTGGAAGCGCCGCCTCCTTCCTTAATTGTATATTCTACAAGTAATCTGAAGTCACTCTGTGCTTTTAAGGTTATAGTTGACAAACACCTATTTCTTGGTCTCCCCAAGTGTAGGGCAAAGCCAGTGGGGGTCCTGTCAGAAGTATCTCTGAGGAGGGAGTTAGACACAGGGATAAAATCATAGTTGTTGCACGTTGCTGCAGCAACCCTCTCCCACCCTAATTCTTCTTTACCATGTTTCTGTTTCCTTTGGGCAAATGATCGCTCCACAGTTGTATATAGCCAAAGTGTCCTGCCTTCCCATACAGAAGCCAAAGGGTCCCAGGGGGATCCTGTGTCCTTCCTCTTACTGCCCTGCTACAGCCAAAGAGTAATGCATGACCTATTCCTGGCCAGCTGGATTCTGTCTCCAGGGTGATTCTTGAGTGAAAAAAACTGTTGTAATCCACTCATCTGGCAGCAGACTCCAACCAAATGGCTAAACAGTATTTGCCACTGTAGTTCTTTTCTAGTTCTTGTTGTATCTTGGTTATTTGTCCTGAACCTAAACCTCAACCTAGTACTTCCTTCAATAAATTTCCTTTGTTCTTTTTTTTTTTAATATTTATTTTTGAGAGAGAGCATGCGAGTATAAGTGGGGGAGGGCCAGAAAGACAGAGAGACACAGAATCTGAAGCAGGCTCCAGGCTCTGAGCTGTCAGCACAGAGCCTGATGTGGGGCTCAAACCCACAAACTGTGAGATCATGACCTGAGCCAAAGTCGGATGCCTAACCAACAGAGTGACCCAGGTGCCCCTCACTGTATTTTTCTAATATAAAACTACGTGGTAGCTGCAGCTGGAGACTGGGTCCTCCACACAGAGACTCTTGTGTTGGGTCTTTATTACTGGTGGATAGCATGTAGAGTTAATAAGAAGAGGAATCAAGTATGATCACTGGATTTTTAAAGAAACTGAGGAGATAGCGGTACCCTAACTTGGATTTAGGAAGACAAAGAAGGAACAGCATTTTGGGGGGGTGGGGAGGTTGGTGAATTAGAGATGCCTATGAGCTCTCCTAGAAGAGGTGTCAAGAAGGCATTTGCATGCACAAGGCAGGATAGAGTTCATGGGAGAGATCAAGCAGGCAGGAAGTTGGAATTGTGAACCATTGACATGCAGATGATGTATAAAGCTGTGGGACTGATCATGGGCTCTGCACTGATCCCTGGACACTCCACTTTTAGGAATATATGTATCTTTTGAAACTGCTTTATTGATTCACATACCATATAACTCAGTGGGTTTTATTATGGAGTTATCATGGAGTCATGTACCCATCACCACAATCTAATTTTAGAACATTTTTGCTTCCCTAAAAGAAACCCCATCCACGTTACCATTCACTCTCCATTTTCCCTTCCACTTCACTTCCCAGCCCCCAACCCTAGCCAGCCATGAATCTGTTTTCTGTCTCTATAGATTCACCTATTCTGGACGTGTCATATAAGTGGGATCATACAATATATAGTTCATTTAACATGGTGTTTTCAAGGTTCGTCCATGCTGTATCATGTCTGAATAACAACAGTCCATTGTGTGGATATACCACATGTTGTTCATCCATTTGTCAATTGATGGGCATTTGGGTAGTTCCTACTTTGGGGCTTTTATAAATAATGTTGCTATGAACATGAGTATATAAGTTTTGTATTGATGTATATTTTTCATTTCTTTTGGTACTGTTCCCCCCAAACTCATATTTTGAAGCCTCAACCTCCAATATTTCTGTATTTGGAGATAGGGCCTTTATGGAATTAAGGTTGAATGAGGTCATAAGGGTGGGGACCTGATCCAATAGGATTAGTGTCCTTGTAAGAAGAGACAAGAGAGGGGCGCCTGGGTGGCTCAGTCGGTTAAACGCCCGACTTCGGCTCAGTCATGATCTCACAGTTCATGGTTTGAGCCCCGTGTTGGGCTCTGTGCTGGCAGCTAGCTCAGAGCCTAGAGCCTGTTTCAGATTCTGTATCTCCCTGTCTCCCTGACCCTCCCCCGCTCACACTGTCTCTCTCTCTCTCTCTCTCAGAAATAAATAAAACATTAAAAAAGAAGAAGAAGAAGAGACAAGAGAGAGCCATTTTCTCTTTATGTCATGTGAGGACACAGTGAGAAGACAGCCATCTGCAAGCCAGGAAAGAGGTTCTCACCAGGAATCAAACTGGCTGACACCTCAACCTTGGACTTGAGCCTTAGAACGGTGAGAAAATAAACTTCAGTTGTTTAAGCCACTCACTTAGTGGTATTTTGTTACAGAAGCTCAAGCCAACAATGACAGGTAAATCCTAGGAGTGGCCTTGCTAAGTCATATGGTGACCTTGTAAATTTTGAGGAGGGATTATACACTTAAGATATACTCCCTTAGGTGTACAAAATGTATATAAAAGTATATATATTTTTATTTATTTTAAATGTTTTTTCTTTATTTTTGAAAGACAGAGTGCAAGCAGGGGAGGGGAAGAGAGAGAGAGAGGGAGGCACACAATCCGAAGCAGGCTCCAGGCTCTAAACTGTGAGCACAGATCCCAATACAGGGCTTGATCCCATGTAGTATATCATGACCTGAGCCAAAGTTGGTCACTTAACCAACTGAACCACCTAGGCACCCCTATAAAAGTATATTTATTACAGCGGCATTCATAATAGAAAAATGTTGATTAAATCAAGCCTGTGACTGAGTGGAGCAAAAGTATCTGTACACTATATGGACATATAGATGTAGATATAGATATTTACATATACAGATACTAAAATATTTTTTTGAGATAGTTGTGTTCTTACGCCTCTATTTTTGCCATCCTTACTTCCAGAAAGGCACCAGGTCATTTTGTGCTTTCTCGCCTCTGGGAAGTATTATGATCCTAAGACTAAAAGAAATTTCTTGCAAGATACTTCCTTTTCTGAATTAATTTTCCTGAAACATGAGGCTGTGGGGGAGATCAGTCTAGGTGTCCTAGAAGAGGAGTACAGAAAAAAGGAGCAGTGACTTTCAGGGCGAAAAGAAAAGAGAGGAGAGATTCTGGGAAGGGAGCTAATGCCAGAAGTTCCCATGATTGTGGGTAGCGCTCCTCGAGGCAAGCAAGACTCTAGAGAGGATGGAATGGACAGTAACACCTGCACACACTTCCGCATGAATTTTTTTTTTTTTAATGTTTTATTTATTTCTGAGAGACAGCATGAGCAGGATAGGGTCAGATAGAGAGGGAGATAGAGAATCTGAAACAGGCTCTAGGCTCTGAGCTAGCTGTCAGCACAAAGCCCGACACGGGGCTCGAACCCACAAACTGTGAGATCATGACCTGAGCCGAAGTCGGAGGCTTAACCGACTGAACCACCCAGGCATCCCCCTGCATGATTTTTTTGAGGACACAAACATTCAATCCACCACCCCAAGGGAAATGAAAAAAACATCCATGCAAAATCTTGTACACCAATGTTCACAGCAGCATTCCCACGTCAAGGAAGCAGAAAGGTGTCGGACTTTGAAGGATCTTTTTCAGTGTTAACAATAAAGCTGTCAACGGTGTCTATGAAGCCTGGAGATGAAACGCCCTCAGGCACTTCTTAAATCTAAAGCTGGTAAAGTGGCCCCAAGTCTGCCTGAGATTAAATTTTCTGCTAGTGTTGATTCTTTTTCCCTTTGGGGAGAATACTAAAAGGAAAGTAAAAGAAAAAGGCCAAAAATATTGAAATAACATTGAGAATGGAAAGGCTGTGTTAAGTGCCTCAGTTGACTTTGGCTCAGGTCATGATCTCACGGCTTCTGAGTTCAAGACCTTTGTTGGGCTCTGTGCTGACAGCTCAGAGCCTGGAGCCTGCTTCAGATTCTGTGTCTCCCTCTCTCTCTGTGTCCCTCCCCTGCTTGCACTTTTTCTCTCTCTCTCTCAGAAATAAACATTAAAAAAAATATTTTTTTAAAGGAATGGCTCTGTTAGTGGATGAGAGATTCCAGAATGCAGAAAGCAGATGACTGACTGATGAATGCAGAACATATAAAGCCATAGCTAAATATACACAGAGAATTGGTTATGGCTGACACAGGACCCAATAGGCTCAGTAAAACCATAGATATAGGCAGGATAATGCCCCCACCAAAGATGTCCATGTCCTCATCCCCAGAATTGTAAATATGGTAGGTTATATGGCAAAGGGGATGAAGGTTGCAGATGAAATTAAGTTGCTAATCAGATGACCTTAAAACAGGGAGATTATCTTGTTAGACCAATCCAGGTAGACCAATGTAATTTCATGGATTTTTCCAAGTGGAAGAGGGGGGAAGAGGAGAGTCAAAGAAGATGTGAGGCTAGAAAAGAGGTCAGAGTGTTTTGATGTCTAATGGACTCCACCCACCATTTCTGACTGTGTAGATAGAGGAAGGGGACCATGAGCCACAGACTACAGGTGGCCTCTAGAAACCGGAAAAGGCACGGAAACAGATTCTTGCCTGGAGCCTCCAGATAGCAAAATGCCCCACTGATGCCTTGCTTTCAGCCCAGTGAGAAGTGTTGGACTTCTACTGACCTGTAAGATAAGAAATCTATGTTATTTTAAGCCACTAAGATTGTGGTAATCTGTTAGAGCAGCAATAGGAAACTAACTGGAACAGTGCTATACTTGTCAACATGGAGCTTTGAAGGGTTAAATGTGGATGAAAACAAATTAATTGATGGTCTGTAAATAAAAGGATGATACCCCCCGACTACCTCTTTCTTGTACCCCAGTGGGGAAACTAAATCATCATTGCCAGGTATATGTCCTTAAGCAAAAAAAGTAAGACATCTTCTCGAGAGAACTAGAAGTCAGTTTCTAGGATTAATTTGGGCACCTAGCAGAGATGCTGGTGTCAAAGACCTACACTCTTCTACTGGGCATTTGAGAGCCTTCTAGAAGTTCGATTGGCTATTCCCTTCCCACTCACATGACAGTGAGACTTACCATCAGGAGTCCTGCCCATAGGAGCCAAGCTCCCACTTGCTCCCATTTAGAATTTCTACTGCCTCATTCTGTAATATAAATGGACAACCAGAAACTCCCACCTTTGTGGAGTACCTGCTGTGTAACTGAGAAAACCGAGGTTAAAAAAGAAGCAACAACAAAATACGAAAATATAGAAAATTTTAATTTAGAGCAGACAGGAATAATTAAGGGAACACAGAAAATCTTAAGGGTCACCTGGGTGGCTCAGTTGGTTAAGTGTCCGACTTAACGCTTGGGTCATGATCTCGTGGTTCACAGAGTTTGAGCCCCCCGCATCAGGCTCTGTGCTGACAGCTCAGAGCCTGGAGCCTGCTTTTGATTCTGTGTCTCCCTCTCTCTCTGCCCCTCCCCTGCTCATACTCTGTCTGTCTCTCTCTCTCTCAAAAATAAATAAAACATTAAAAATGAAAAAAAAAAAGAAAACCCTAAAATAAGACAAACCATAACCTTAAATAGTATTCTTGGAGAGATCTGAGAAGATAGTGAATTGAATCTATGACAGATGTTGTTTACCTACCCAGAAATCATTTCCTTGTTTTTTTCCTCGTGGTAAGAATCTTGATACTTTCTCCCTATTTCATGGCCATATGCTTCAGGAGAGGCAGAATTCTCTCTTCCTCTGAGGAGGCCAGACTTTTTTCCCTAAGGGCCTTCAACTGACTGGATAAAGCCCACCCATGTTATGGAAGGCAATCTGGTTTGCTCAAAGTGTACTGATTCAACTGTTAATCTCATCTAAAACACCCCTTGACGCAATATCTAGATGAGTGTTTGACCAAATATCTAGGTGCCATGGCCTAGCCTAAGTTGACACATAAAATTAATCTTCACAACTAGTGTGATCAGAGGAAAAGCTGCCATGTCAGAAGGTGCCAACTTTGCATGATATAAACACCTGCCACTGTGAAACATCTCCACTGAAGGTTGACTCCCTGGCAGGGAGGAGGACTGACTTTGAAGAAGACTGTACAATGTTACAATGAGAGAATTAGCTTTTGACTTTGTTTTGTTTTCCTTTTTTTAAGATTAAAAAAAAATTTAATGTCTTATTTATTTCTGAGAGAGAGACACACAGCGTGAGCAGGGGAGGGTTAGAGAGAGAGGGAGATACAGAATCTGAAGCAGGCTCCAGGCTCTGAGCTAGCTGTCAGCACAGAGCCCGATGTGAGGCTTGAACCCATGAACCGTGAGATCATGACCTGAGCTGAAGTTGGATGCTTAACTGACTGAGCCACCCAGGGATCCCTGTTTTTAACATTTTAATTTTAAGTAATCTCTACATCCCAAATGGGGCTCAAACTCACAAGCTAGGGATCAAGAGATGCACACTCCACCAACTGAGCCAGCTAGGTACCCCAGTTTTTTTTTATATATAACTCTTTCTCAGAATGTGCTTATGAATAATTATCCATAGACTCAACTTTCGTTGTGTCTACTTAGACACTAATGAAATCCAATAAATCTGAAAATCAGTGGGCTTACCAGATCTTGATCTTCTGTCAAGTTACTCCATAACTCCATATGATTTCTGTACTAAAATAGTTGTCAGGGTCCCAGTAACAAACACCAGAAAGTAGATATATACACAGAGAGAGTAGGTAGCACAAGATGAACAAAGGCAAAGACAGATAATCACAGAGGGAGCAATCAAAGGAGTTAGGAACTCCAGAATGAAGAAGAGACTAGCTAATTGAAATGAATTGGAGTTCTTGGGGTGCCTGGGTGGCTCAGTCGCTAAAGCATCCCGCTTTGGCTCAGGTCATGATCTCACGGTTCAAGTTTGAGTCCCACTCTGGGCTCTGTGCTGATATCACAGAACTTGTTTCAGATCCTCTGTCTCCCCCTCTCTCTGCACCCCCCTGCTTGAGTGTTCTCTCTCTCTCTCTCTCAAAAATAAACAATTAAAAAAAAAAAAGTGTCCTTAGAGCACCTGGGTGGCTCAGTCGGTAAAGCATCCTGCTTTGAGTCAGGTCATGATCTCACAGTTCATGGGTTCTAGCCCTGTGTCAGGCTCTGTGCTGGTGGGTAGCTCAGAGCCTGGAGCCTGTTTCAGATTCTGTATCTCCCTCTCTCTCTGACTCTACCCTGCTCACGCTCTCGCTCTGTCTCTCTCTCTCTCTCAAATAATAAAACATTTAAAAAAAATTTTTTAAGTGTCCTCAACCTTCATGAGTGCAAGAAATTTGTTCAAAATAAACAGTGATTGGGGGCGCCTGGGTGGCT